CAATCACTTCAAGGGCAAATCAAATTTATCGAAATGCAAAGCCAAGGACTTCGCCGCAATGCCGCGTCTTACTCTTCTGCGGCAATGCAGGGCTCGCAAGCAACAAAAACATCCTCGAGTGTGATTGATAATGAAGCACTCAAATTTCTCACCGAAAGGACAAAAGTGGAAGGAGTTCAAGTAACTGAAAAGATTCCCAACCCTCAGGGTAAAGAAGAAGAGATTGTAATATGGAAATACCCAGAAGAGAAAGTGGCGGAACTGGATGAGTTCCACGAAAAGCATGCAGTCATCTTCAATTTTGCAAGAAATGCTGCCGACCTCATGCCAACATAAAAACGAAAATGGGTGATTGTGGCGATAAACAAAGAAAAAAACTGAAAAATCTCAAGGAAGCTTTCTCGCTGCAGAGCCTGGGTCGTAATACGCTATTGGTCGTGTTCAATCACAAGCACCATGCGCGTGCTGCAACAGAAATGAAGTCAAGGAACTGTAATGGCTCAGTTTGCACAATAACAGCATGGAAAAAGTAAACGAACCAGCGACCGAACCCAACCTTCACAGTTTCGTACAACAAATGCTGATGAAATAATTTTTTTTGGTGCAATTTGACAGAATTCAACCGGGGTTTCACGGATTGGTGGTGGATAGACTGGAGCAGCAATACCCAGCGAACAAAGTCCTTAAGTGGATTCTGCCAACACCAGATTTCCTTGCTCCCCACTGTGGATCCATGACGGCAATCTTGGAAGTGAAAACAGATGATCCTCCGGTGTTCCCACTAGCATGGACACTCGCGATCGAGGAAAGGGAACTACTGATTGAAATCTCCACAAAGACCTCGCCGATCTGCTTCAGATGCAGAGGATGAGGCCACATGGGTACCAACCCGAACTGTCCCAAATTTCCCACGAACCAGAAAGAGAGGAAGCTTATGCCCAATATGTTGGTTGAGGTTGAAGAAGCCCTGGGCATGTGGTTCATTGTGGATCCTACCTAAGACGCGTGGATCTTTGATGACAATCTTGAAGACCCGGATTGGATCTGGCATTACTCGGATAAGGAACCAACAACAAAGAAGCCAGATATCTTTCCCCCTGCCGACAGCAGATGGCAAAAGATGGCAACAAGGAAAGAAGTTGGCAACCCCACGAAGATCAATATCATCCCCCTAAACGATTCACGGGTTATAAGGGAGGAGAAAGCAAGGGAAGACCTGCTATGGGTCTTGGATTCAGTGAGAGAACAGGCAGAATAGGAGTACTCCAAGGACCCAGAAAATTTTCAGAAAAAAAAACACCGGAAATAATTGAAAGCACAAAGAATGACGAAAAAAGAAAGGTGGAAGAGCAAGAACGTACCATCCAACAAACTGAGAGCAAACGCTCTCTGGACATTAGCCCCAATCGAGAAAGAGGGCAATCAGACTCTAAGAGGAGGAAAGTGAACAGTGCTGAGGGGGCTCAAATTGAGGAGGAGGTTGTGACAGACCAGCACATCACCGCAGCCCACTTCATGGATAAGGATGCAGACTCGGCCATGGATGAAGAAGACACTGAGGATAGCTAGAGCTCAAGTGGCTCGGCTACCATCAATGATCAAGCCCCCCCTCCCAACAGATCTCTTCAATGGCTACATGAGTACATTGAAAAGGTCAAGAGGGAGAGGGAACACCTCTTCAACATCCGGAAAGCTTGCCTGAAACATATACAGAGGAATAAGAAGCAAGGCACAGTAGCTGGTGTCCAAAAATCAGTTAACAATTTTGAACTACTTGAACAAGAGTTCTCAGAGTACGCTGCCTTCAGGTACGCAGAGAAAAAAAGAGCCAGAGAACAGGGGAAGTCGGGCACCAAGGAAACAATCAAGGATTTAGAAGAATCGTTCCAAAACCTGAGAAATGGAAAACCATTGAAGCACACGAAAAAGATCACCAGAGGTCCGACAGGAATGAGAACACAAGGAAGACAGAGCGCATTGAGCTTGAAATGGATCTTGCTGTCATTGAGGCGCAAACAAAAAAGTTGAAGAAACTCAGCGCCACGTATGAACCAGAATCCACATCTTTGCGGCACATAGCCGACGGCAAAGCCCCACACGTGCTGCAACAAGCCAAATCCACCAGACTCACCATGATGGGTCTACGGCCTCTATTTTTGCAAGATACGTCGAGGAGACTGGCGAGTGGCAGGTGCCCACAGATGTTTCCTTTGCACTCCCACACTTCGAGGAGGGACAGAACTTGATGGCAGTAATTCGTGAAAAAAATCCTGCTACTTGTCGACTAGGTGTTTTTGTAACAGAGGGGTCAAACAAATTCACCGGGTCACACGAGACGCAACCACAACACCAGGATCTGCAAAGGACCACGTATGATCCAGCTGAATCTAGACTTACTTCATTCACTCCTCTGATTGCCAAGATGCATGAGAACGCAAGACTCGACAGGGGTATGATGTGGAGGTCCTGGCGTACGGTGTCTGCAATCCCATACAGCGTGCTTTCATGCATGGGGATCCCGGCGGAGCTGTCGGCAGCATCGCTGGCAGACATCCTCAGGGAAGGCACACTGGACAGCAATGCAGACCTGGATTCTGTAACTCTTGTCCTGGATTTGGAATGTTTTTATAGAGACGATTTCCAGGAGGAGGACATGGAAGACTGGACTGGCGATGAGCGCACAGGTCAGGACCCCATGGGTTCCCCAGGGAGACAGGTTAGCGGGAGCATAGGGGAATATAAGATAGATGACCCTGCAAAGGACTCCCTCCTGGAACCACCAGAGGTGTCCCCAGAGGCAAAAACTGACAAGGATAAGCCCCCTACCTAGGATTTTGGGGCCAGACGCCTCAATGTTACGAGTAGGGGTACTGGATGGAGGACTTCAGGAACAAAGCCAATCAGCAGCCCCCCAAGCCGAATTGGAGGGCACAAGGTATAGTCATCCGAAGTTGGAATGTGAATGGCCTAGGCAACATCCTCGACAAAGAAGACAAATTTAATGACATAATTAAGGGTCTTAAACAGGAGAATAACAAAATTACAGACGTCATAATGCTTCAAGAAACGCACCTGACGAACCATGCAGAACATCAGAAACTACAAAAATTATTTATGAGAAGATTAGGTGGGATCAAGGACGCAGTCTGGGCGTCAGACAACGAACAAGCAGTAAAGGCACAACCATTCTAATACCGAAAAATTCTCAACTCTACAAGGGTGGCGCAATAATCAATACAGGCAAGGATGATAATGAGGGAAGGTGGTGCCTCATGGACCTGAGGTGGAAAGAGGAAAACTTCAGACTGATCAATATCTATGCTCCTAACGATAGGGGCGACAAATCTTCATTCATCCACTCCCTAGGTCAGCGGATCCTGCCTCTACACGCCTGCATAATAGGAGGAGACTGGAATGTCACGCTAGGCCCCGCTAATGACCGTGTTTCCAGAACGGGCTCACCTCAGTCCTCCCAGGAAGCGGCGTCCATCCAGGAATTAATTATGGACCATAGTCTGGTGGACCCGTTCCGTACCCTACACCCGACAACAAGAGGTTTCTCATTAGTGAAGAAAAAACACTCCCACCATACGGCCTTCTCTCGCATAGACTTCTTTTTGGTGTCTGGTCGCCTTATGGGAACAGTCAAGGAAGCTGAGATTTTGCCATTGGCGCCGTACCCGGGTCTGGACCACAAGCCAATTGAACTGATCGTCAGCTTCGACCAACTCATCCCGAAAGGTCGAAGCTTCCACAAATTAAACAACTCCCTCCTACCGAGTCAAGAATTCATAGGGTGTATAGAGGAGAACTGGAAAAATCTAAAAGGAAGCTTCATCTCCGGGGGGAATAGGTGGCAATGGTTCCAAAATAGCTACCTAACGCTAGCCAAATCAGCAGCTACAATATCGAGGAAAATGGCCAATGACAGGAAAAAACGAAAGGTGATGCTCGAAACTGCCTTGAAAGTAGCGGAGAGTAATTTACTCACTAATCCATCTTCTCAAATGTATGCAGATGTAGTACAAAAAACAAGAGAAGAACTTGGGACATGGCGCCTGTGGGAACTCAGAGGGTTCCAAATCAGAGCCAGAATGACAGATCTTGAGCTCAACGAACAGATGTCCAAATATTTTTTTGCTAGAATAAAGGTAAATAACCGTTGTAGCTCAATAGAGGGGCTTTAGGAATTAAGGGGCCAACATATCACCCGTACAGAACGAAGGGATGCTCAAGGTAGCAAAGGACTTCTATGACAAGCTCTACAATTCTAAAACCCCTTCAGATACCCCTACAAATATCCGTACTGCTAAGGCCAAAATGCTACAATACCTGGACAGAACAATATCGGATGATCAAGCCAAAAAATTGGATAAACCGCTATCCCTGGACGAGCTGGAATTCACCATTCGAAACATGAACAATAACAAGACTTCGGGCATAGACGGTTTAACAAAGGAATTCTGGGAAAAATGCTGGCCTCTAATGGGCTTGGACCTCTTGAACTTTTATAACGACAGTTGGGAAAAAGAAGGGATGGGTGAATTCTGACAGTTGGGAAAAAGAAGGGATGGGCGAATTCTGACAGTTGGGAAAAATAAGGGATGGGCGAATTCCTTAGTACCACACTACTCTATAAAAAAGGCGACCGGGAAGACGTTAAGAACTACAGACCAATTTCTCTTCTCACACTCCCCTACAAAATATTGGCCAAGGCACTAGCTTACCGCATACTGGACCTAACATACAAGTGTTTTCACAAAGACCAGTCCGGATTCATACCAGGAAGATACATCCTAGACAACATAATGACCCTCAACGAAGCCTCTAGGAATGTTGTAGAGAAGAAAATTAGGACAACGATTCTCTTCTTCGACTTTAAAAGGCCTAAGACCAGGTAAACTGGGACTTCCTAGATGCGAGCGCGGAAAGGATGGGAGTAGGTCCCAACTTCAGGAAATGGGTGCGTGTGTTGTATAATAATGCCTCCGACTGTGTTCAGATTAACGAACTGCTCTCCAAAGGCTACCCAATATCCAGATCAGTAAGACAAGGCGACCCATTAGCTCCGCCTATCTTCCTCTTTGTAATGGAAGCCATAGCCTCTCCTTTCTCCGTAAGGACGCTTCTATCCAAAGCGCACAACATACATTTGACCCTTCTATCCAAAGGCTGCCAGAAATGAACGTGGGGTCTGCGCACAACATACATTTGACCCTTATATCCAAAGGC